CCATTGGTTATTCCCCACAAGGTTTTGCTAAAAGGAGAAAAGTCTTTTCCTCTTTCAACTCTTGCAGATGAGCTTGATGTTAATTTATCCCAGGGCTTCTTTTTATGTGCCAGCTCTGCACCTCATTTTTAGCTTACGCTTGTAGAAACTTATCAATCTAATATGAGTGCAAAGATGACAAGTCTAAAACTCAGGAGATATGTGACTGGTAACGGGAAAAGATTGAAACTTTCTCTACTCACTTCTATACATAACTTCATTTATACTGTGGCGAGAGATGCCTTAAATTCCTAATAAAATTCACACATTGCCCTTGTTTACAAAGATCATCTGGGATCAATTACTAAGAGTGATAATGGATGGTTACATCAGCCTTCTGGACTCAGACACTTACTTATCTCTACTGACAATGGACACTGGTATTCTCCTTTGGATTTCACCAGCCACGGGTCTGTTTCACATATGGTCCAAATAAGGTTAATGTTCCTAAAGGAGCTAATTATGGAAGCAAAGCAGCTTGCACAGATGTTCAATGCCCTTTAAGGAGTGCATTTTTCTGTATGAATAATATGGTGACTGTTTTCAAATAATTATGCATGCATCTAGACATGCTCTTCATGAGTCAGCTTTCAGCCTGCCTAAAATGTGAGAAGGTATAGATGTTGGCAACTTGTACAGCTCAGTGGTTATATAAAGGAGTGTCAGAGTGTCATTCTGCTATACTGCCCACTTGTTGAACTTGTATCTCAGTTTCACACCAGCACCTTTTTTGCATCTTTAACATAGATGTATCCTGGGAATGTTACTTGATCATGTAGGATTACCTCCTACCCCCTGCTCTGAACAAGTTCAAGATAGGCTGTCCCACACAAAAATGTTTACTAATAAATAACCTAGCACTCTTAAAATGTCACAGTATTATAATAACCACTCTCAATCCAATACAGACATTATCATACAAGTGACCCATAATGTAATATAAGTTGTCTACATCCCAGTCCTCTGCTTGAACCCCTGAAGCTCTTTCCTTATAGTCAGCAGGTGGAGAAAAGTTTCCATATAACAGTAAACAAGTGAGGAAGATAAGTTCTGCTGCTGTGAAAAGAAGGCAGCTGGGATTTCCAGCTTTGTTTCCTTTCTTAGAACCTGTAAGAATATACCAAGTTAATTTTCCAGTTTCCTTGGTAACCTTCTGTGAAAGGGAAGATACTAGTAGAGCGTGTGAGGCAGGAAAGATCTGATGAATAAATACAGTTTCAAATATTTCTTCGAGAAAGTGAGTTAAGAATGCTTAGCTCTATTAAGACAAACTTTCGGTTTCAGTGGTTTAACATTTCTCCAGATTGGTTTCAATGCAATCTAACTCTTCTTCAGAAATCAGAAATACTTAGCATGATCCACCCCCTCACTCCCCGCCTGAACAAACAAACACAGGTGTCTCATAATTGCCTCTATATGGAGGATCATGTTAGTATGGGCAACAAACCAATTCACTGTAGCATGCTTGGGTAGAAGAATGGTCACCACAACTGCACACCACAGGGGCATCTACACTAACTATGGTCAGAAATGAATTGACCAGAAGAGTGGTGGGAACACATGTACTACAGTGTGCGACTTTAGGTTTCAACCCTAGGAGCAGGAATACATTGAGATCAGTCTCTTTCAAGTTATTTTCCCCCATCCCCAGAATTTTTTTTATTCATTCTAGTTTAGAGAAATGTAACTATCCAGTTCTACAACTGCAGTTGCAATCTATAAAATAATGCATACAGAACTCTAATTAGAATGGTATCACCATACAAAGCCTCCCAAGCCCACCAAAACTAAAAATCTCTTGCCTTGTAGCCCTTTTGTTGCTTTCTCAACTCATCCCCTCACAGAAACCCTGGGAAAATAGATAGGCCTTGCCAAATACTTGAGTCAACAGACAAATGTTTTAAATCAGGGAGGAAATGAGCTCTAGACCAGAGATCCGTTCACATTGAAAATGCCCGGCTAGCAAGGAGCTCTCATTTAAACCAAGGACTATTAATTTGAGTGCCTGAGCCAATTGCCATGGAACTAAGAAAAGAGGCAGTCTCTAAAACTTTAAACTGTACCCAGAAAAATACTAGAAACTAATTCAGACTACAAGGCAGAGGTATCTTGCCAGCACCCATCCCTAAGTAAGCTGCATTCTGCACCAGCTGAAGTTTTAGGTCTAGAGATTCATATCTAGGCACAGTGCATTACAGAAATCCAGCCCTGGATTCCTTGGTGAACAATTATCTATGCAAAAATTCCTATACTATAGGACTAGTGATAACTTGAACCACCCCTGGAAACCACTGAAACTGATTTTTTCTAAGCAATTTCATATACTTTACTGATTCCAATGAAATGGTCAAATAACTTGATGAACAAATAAAGCATGTCTCAATTTTGTAAATCATTCACCCTATACAGGTAAGTAGCAGCATTAGATGCTCTATTTCAGGGGGTGGTCATCCCTGCCCATGCTAGCCCCAGGTCTGACTGGCTCTGACTGTGTTGACAGCACCCAACAAGGTCCCCTGCTCAGGGTACTGAGGGAAGACAACAGCAGACCCAGTGAATGAGATCCAAGTTCCCCAATGGTAGTGAAGGTAAATGACTGCAGATGCGTACACTGCACAGGGCGGAAGAGGAGCTAGATCTTCAGAACCGTCATCCTCAGGAACCAATGTCATCTGGCAGAAGAATTCCCAGGAAGGGGGATGGTTCACCTTCTCCATCCCCCCCAAAGCATCTCCGAGTCCAAAAGAGGCAGAGCAAAATAAAGGGGCAACCAGCCATTACAAACTGCAACAACAGCCCCAGGGATAAACCCCTTATTATGACCAGCTCTCAGAGGAGGAACAGGGTTTGCATGCATATGATGGGCATGACCCAAACCCCGCTCAGGGAAGGCACAGCCCTGATGGCCCTAACTCCCCAGAAGTCCAAACCAGACCTCAAAGGTGAATTCTATGTTGCCACATGCAATGTGTTAATACTGAATGGTACTGCATTGCCAAAGGCCTCACCCACTACAAGACTGTAATTTCTGGCATCACAGAGGCTTGCCTGGCACAAAATTATCAAATCCCTATGGAAGGATTCCATTTCTACAGGACACACCATATTCAAGGTGTGGCACTTGTTATTAGACAACCTCTAGCACAGACTTTAACCATGTGAAACCCCAGCTCCCCACTCTTAATTTATGCTCAACTTCAACATGGGCATGGACACTTATCTTTCATTGTGGCTAATGCACCACTAGAAGATGCATCATCTGTGGAAAAAAGACACATTCTACATGAACTAGCAGCAAACATCCAGTCAGCTCCACAACATGACACAATGCTCCTGCTCAGAGATTTCAGTGTTGTGACTGGTTATGATCAAACTGGATATGAAAACATGATATTGTAATAGTAGGATTTTAGTGATATTATTTAAAAACAAAACCAATTCATTTTATACCTACAAAACAAGAGTTTTACAAACCAGGAGTGTTGGTTTAGGTCCTATAACATTCCACATATTTATACAATATATTTATACACACATATTCTGTTTTCTTAACATCCCTTACACTGCTTTAATTTTTACACAGCTGTACATAGATTACATTTATATACATTTGGGGGCAATTAAGTTCCAATAGAAACCCCTTATGTTCTTTTAGCGAATTTGACTAAATTGTTCGTAGTCAAATGATTTAAATCAGATTGTCTCTTTGCCTGGCTTATTTATAGACATTCCTTTGGAAAAGGGCCAATTTTTCCTTCAGAATGGCTGCAAAGAAACCAAGAATTCTCTTTCTATAACACTTTTCTCTTTTAACAGTTTTGCAGTGTTCAACTGCTTAATTCCCTCCAGCCTCCGCAGAGTTAACTTCTCGCTCTCTTTCCTTAAATCACTTCTTATCTCCCAAAATGACACTTTAATCAACTCAGATTTCACCATTCCAAGTATTGTTCCAGGGATCTGAAATCCCCATGCCCTTACTTACTTTTTTTTCCCTTACTCCTGCCACTATGCCTTCAAGGCTTCCAACCTGTTTTCCCATTTTTTTATCTGTTGCCTGCCTGCTTGTCTGGGCCCGATCCTGCTTTCCTCGCTGAACCGTTCCTTTTCATGGACACAGGCTTTGTTCCACTACCAATTTAGCAAGGAGGGTGGGCTCCTCAACTAGCCCCCACCCTTCCTGGTTCCTTTCTTTAAATATTTCTTTCAAAATTGTGAAATCACCACAATATCAATCACACAAAATACTATATGGCCCATCTCCTATATCCTTCAGAGTTTGGTTTAACAGAAGAAGATCTGTTTAAAAGGAGTAATCTTTTGAACAAAGTATCATCTTTGGATTGCTTCCTTTTAAACATTTCTTACACTGGTGCTACCACTATTTGCCCACACTCCTATATCCTTCAGAGTTGGGTCTCACATAGAAAATACCACCTGGACATATTTCTTTATGAATCTCTTTTACCTTTATAACTCTTTCATGCCCATACTTGTGCTGGGACTTACAAAACACAAAAGTCTATACCCACTAAAAAAACCTCTGCCTAACAGAGCAGGCGGGGGAAAACGCTCAGACCCCTACCTTTTGGGCTCGATCCTGTTATGACCGAGAGTATATTCACCTATGCAATTTTTCCGCAACAGATGGGTAGGAGCGAGGACTCTAACCCTCCGCATTATGGTTTGGCACATGTATGACCTGGGGTGTGCACACATGAATGATCGATCACTTTATATGTATGGTATATCTTTTAGCAATATTTAGCAGTATGTTCAAAAGTCACAGTGCATGTCTTCCCCCTTTCGCAATTCTCCACCAAAAATGTTATGCTTATGAGAAGCACACAGGATCTTTTTCAGGGGAAAAGGCAATACGCCACATTTATTGAAGATACAACTATTAGCATATGCATTCAATCACACCACACACACAGTCCCACTAATCGATTTATAGTTACCAGTCCAGAGTCCAGATCAATCTAGTGGCCAGCTAGGTTGATCATGGGTAGGGAGGAGCCGGGTTCCTTCGGTCATGATACAATGATCCGGGGAAGTCTTGGCAGGATGAACTCAAAATTTCATGGCAAGGCACCCTATTTAGATAGTGATTTTCCTTCATTGGGACCAATGAGTTTTGCTCCATCATGCTGTAATCAATTGTTGTTTGACAAGTGCTTGTTTTCTTAAATTGTCCTTCTCATTCTTTATCACAGCTATCATGTCCCTATTGATAGGTGCCTGTCTCATCTTTAAAGTAATCAATCTGCCCTCCTCTGACATTTCAACATGCGCGTGTTGCAGCCTCCTGGCGCCCTTGCCTCTGTCTCTGGTTCCTCCCTCATACATCTGGCTCAGCGATGACCTTCACACTTATCTCTTTACACACACATTCCTCATTCACACACAAAACAGAATTAATTTACACAGAACATTTTAAACAGGAACATCAAGTTGCAATGCACAAGAAAACAATCATGGCATTCTTTTACTTATTTTAAAATGCTAAACCTATAGCAAAGTAGTGACCTTAAAACATCTGTTATTTTCTTGAAATTAGCCCAGATACAGATTCTGGCTGATGCATCTTTACCAAATGGCCCATTAGGCCATTCCTTTTTGCTATTCAAAAAGGGTGGCTGACAGGAGATGATCAAACCATACACCAATACATTTAATACATGCTAAATTATCTCATTATTCTTCATCCCTCATTCTAAATCATACACAATATAAAACATAAAAGCTTACTATTACAATATGTCCCCTTTGGTTCAAATTCCCCAAACACCACAACCACTTAGCTTCTGACACTGTGTGCCAGACATTGTCATGGGCTCCTGCTTTAGGCACCTCAATAACCATAGCTGGAGCTGGATTTCAAACCAGCGATGTGCTATGACAGAAATTGATCACATCCTCATCTGAAATTGCTCCATAGTGAAATCTCACTTGGTCTTCAGTGGCACAGAAACATCAGCAAACTCAGCCCCTAGACTAGTTGCCGCTCAGCTCCCACTACATCTTCCAACTCCTCAAAAGCCAGGTGTCATCAACAGCACAATGCCCAGCATCATTCCAAGGATCCTGTTGAAGCCATGGAATACACACAGGTAATTGAAAATCACATATATCATTTCAGTATGCTCTTGGGTGATATGAAGATAGCATTACATATACCAGTCCAGGCAATGTCACAGACCCCTGCTGAAACAATCAGCTTTTGATCGTGCAAGCAACTCTGGCTTTCTGAAGATGCTTTTGATATGTTAGTGAAAAAAGCATAAGCATGCAAATGGGGAGATGTCTCATCAGCAGATGAGGTCCTGGACAAATGGAAAACACATTATGAAAGCATACTGAACCATATGTTACAGTTCAGGGCAACTGCACCTATTTTTCCCCCTCCATGGTCCACCAAAGACACCAGCATTGGTTTCTTGATCCTGAACCATACCTTTTCCTGGGTGGAGACCAGCATATCTCTCCGTCCTTATCAGAGATTTTTCCAGGATGCACATACTGCCTGCACTGTGATAGCCCCAGCAAACCAGACAGCCTGAACAGTCCAGCATCTGTGCTTTACTTTCTCTTGGAAGGCTTATTAACAGCATGATTGCAAGCAGTTATAGTTTACCAAACAGCCATTTCAAAACAAGCACATTTATTCTTAAGGTGAAAGCATTACAAAGAGAATATATTAAAACAATAAAAGAACCTACTTTTGCACTAATAAGCTTCACAGGGATCACACCAGCTCCAACATGTGATCTTGTAGGAGTCAGTCCTTCAAACTCCACAACGGGTATTTTCTGTGGTTACAAGTTCATTACAACCTTAACTCAGAACAGGCACACCCATGAATAGTTCAGTCTTTCCTTTATACATCTTGGTCTCATGTAACAGGTGATCAGCAGATAATGGCCCCACTCCTCAGAGCATAGCTTCAAAAGGCTGTTTTTTTTCCCATAACTGGGGATGGGGGATTAGTATTCACCTTCCCCTAGAGATTTCCCAGGAAATCCACTTCACATGTATTGTCCCAAGAGATCATTCTTGTCTGCCACATTGTTCAATATAGTCCTTTGATTATCCTGGCCCACAATAATACATAAACCATTAATTTAATATAGACCCCAACACTAATTAAAATTAATTCAGTAAGGTCTCCCAAGGATCAGGCAGGAAATTGCCATGTCACACCACACACCTTTTGATAACTGTCCAAAGCCATGTGACCTTCAACAGATCCAGGGACAAACACTGCTCCTCCATCGCTTGAGGAAGTACAAAAGGTCATCCAAATGTTTTAGAATGGATGTGCTGCTGGACCTGAGGGTATTCCACCTGAGCTGCTCAAGTGTGCCTTGGAACCAGTGAGCATCAGCCTACATCATAGTAATCCTGTACAAAGGAAAATAATCTTGCATCAAATAATCCTGGTAGCTACAGGCCAATCTCCTTGCTACCAGTCTCTAGAAACATCTTTGCTAATATTCTTAAGAGACGTCATCATCCACAGCAATCAGGTTTTACTGCTAGTCAGTCTTTATCCTCCAGCTTCTGGCTCAGTTGAAAATTTAACTGCCTGCTTCTCATGGCATATATCAATATCTAAGCAGCTTTTGATTTGGTTGGCAGGCTACCACTTCTACTCACACTTAAAGGAGCTGATGTCCTAAATGTTCTGCTAAAGCTGATGTGCAATCTTCACAACAGAACCGGAATGAGTATGCATTGGTTCATGTCTTTCACTGTGTTTCTAAAAACCTTAGGTGTGTGGTAAGAATGTATACTCACCCAGCCACTATTCTGCCAAACTATCAGCTGGATATTAGGTCTTGATGCTCCACATGTCAGAATCAAGGTTGGTCAATAAATGTTCACTGACCAAGACTATGCCAAAAATGTTGCCTTGTTTGTGGCAAAAACAGAGAATTTCAGCCCTGTACTTCAAGGTTTCCAAGACCTTCATTGAATGTCTCATGGCAGAAGACCAAGGTCCAGAACCTCAAACTCGGAATCCGTAGTGCAGGTAGGGTTGAGCACTGTGTAGAGCACTGATGAGTTCTTCTCCTGAGGTCGCAAGCAGAGTTCAAGTGGTTACAACAAATGGGATGTTCTCTGATAAATAGGTCTCACCGCCTCCTGCAGGAAGTCCATGTCTCACTTATGGATGCAAAACTGTCTCTGCCATGAGACAAAGTTCAGAATAGACCAAATCTGTATACTGCCTGTACAACTATATGGGTCATAGACCTGGATCCTCTTACAGACAGACTTGGAGCAGCTAGAACGTTCCATGTGCACTGTCAGTGCCAAATCCTGAACATAAAGTGGTTTGACTTTGTGCAAAATGTCATAGTCCCGCAGGGACCTAGCCTTCCTCCAATTGCTCACTACATTCAAAAGTGGCATTGCATTCTCTTCAGTCATGTCGCCACGATGGACAAAAACACCCCAGCACACCGTGCTCTCAAACTGGCCATCGATGCACAAAGGGGTGCATGCCTTGACACTACCTGGTGTCACCTGTTGGGCTACCCCAGAGATTCATGAATTTGCAGGAGTGAAACATATCTGGGAACTTCACTACATGATGCCTGGTATGATGACATCAATCATGGTCACCCTGGCTTGCAGACTGATCCTCAATAGATTATGTGTGTTTGCCATTCCCCCAGTTTCTAGAGCTGTTCAAGCAATCTGCAGACATATTGAATCATTTACATTTTTGCTGCTGCTTGTGAAGTAGCAATAGGGGGATAGGATCCTCTCCCCATCTATTGCATCAGGAGAAGCAGCCATAAAATACTCATAACACATTTACTCACTTACACTTATGCAGTAGGATCAGAATCTGGGCTCTTATTAAAAAGCACCATCTCTATGACAGAGAACCCTTCACAGCTTGTTTCAAACATTTCCCTACGCATGAAAAGCCTTAGCAGCTCCCTAAAACGAGCTGCAATATTGTTAAAATGTCAACAGCTCTGCTGGGCAACTTTCCAACAACAACAATGGGGCTAGGTTTATTTGCAGTTACATACACATGCACTGTCTGTTCACGCTGTCTTCCTGCCTTTTATTGTGCATGCAGTAGATTGAAATGTAAAATGAAAATCTCATTCACTGTGTGCTTCTGAGAGCAAGGTTCTTCTATATTTCAGTGCTCCACCTGCTCACAAACCTGCAAGCAGCTAGCAGCGTGGACGAATAGCATGACAAAGCTATATCTTGTTAGCAAGCTTAAGAATTTCCAGGTCCCTCACAGCTACGCTTTCTAGGTGTGATATCACCAAACTTGTCAATATGCACTTGCTAGATCAGGCTTCAATAGTGAAACAACAAACAAGCAAAACAAAAGCAAAGCAAAAAACAAAGCAAAAAGAAAAAAAAAGATGGGAGTAACACATACAGAACCAAATACATTGCCAGTATGTCACATATATAGATAGGTAATAAGCTATGCACCCAAGCTGGCACAAGGACAGGCTGAAAGCAGTTGGATTCTGCACAGATGCTGAATCCATCCAAGTTAGTAGATCCCAATGCAGGGCGGGAGCATAAGATGTCTATTGAATATGGTGATGGTTCTATGTCAAATAGACACAAAAGTGAAGGTGCATCTTTTGTAAAACAAAAGGTGCCAAAGGCATTTAAAGCAGGTGAGGCCTTCTGCAATGATGAGGAACATATTTTCTACCACAGATTGTTACTCAGCTGTGGGCACAAGTGATGGTATAGTGGCATCTTATTACGGGAATTTGCTGTGCAAATGTTCAGATATAATTGTGCAGCAGAATTTAGACAGGCCCACACTTTCAGAAGTGTCTAAGTGCTTTAGTTTTTGGTTGCTGATGTTTCTATCTGGGCACCTAAGAATTAAGGGACCCAATATTAGAGGAGATTTTGGAACATTTTATGCTCTCACACGAGGTAGTTATGTGCCCACAACTGAGAGAGTTATCTAAACACCTACCTTTCACTTGCATCTGCCACTGATGGCACCCACCAATTGGGAACACAGTTGACTGCAGGCAGAACACTTCAGTTGCAAAATTAGAGGTCTCCCTGAAAATTTAGAAAGATGAAATTAGAGGCTTCTGTCATAATACTCTTACGGCTCTTCTCCAGGTCAAATTTTCACAGAGGTGCCAACGTTCTGTTGTTTTCGAAATATTTGATCTACTAGGGCACTTTTTGAAGATAAGTAAAAAAATAAAATAAAATACCGCTCCATCTCCTTCCCTCTGAAATTTGGATCAGGTAATTAAAATACCATAGACAGAGCTGGATACCTATTATGTGATATCAGAATGATTTCCTGTGCTTCAGCCTGTATGTCGTTACCATAGCAACTGTAAGGTGCCGTGGCATGTTTTTTATCTGCAGAACAAAATACACTCATCACATGAAATGTAAGTGTTTCTGAGTAAAGCTTTTTCCTAATTATAAAGCTAATTTCTGAATGAATTGTTTTATTTATCGTAAGCATATTTTATTTTCCCCTTTTTTTGCCCACTTTTAAAGTGAACCTTTACTGGATAGAGGGATGAAAGAGGAGTAAGTTACGCTGATCCAAAAGAGTTTATTGCAAGTGTAGCATGCTTTGGTTTCCTATTTGAGGAATGCTCTGTAAGCAGAGTGTGACTGCTACTTGTATTCAATAAGAGAGGCTAAGGTGACCTCTATGGGCCAAAATGGGTGGCTGTTCCCCGGTTAACTGATTTCTAGGGCTATACATGTTAAAATTTACCCATGAAAACAGTCAAGGAGCATAGCACTGAGTCTCCCAGGGTAATTTATGCTGTAGATTTATTCCCTAACTGCTTGATTTTTCAGACGAGGTTCATGTGGGCTATTTTTTCCCCACATTCAATTAGTGGTAATATCTTACCTCAAGGGTTATTGATAATGTGGGGAAGAAGGCATAGAATGTATTTCATTTAAATGAAAGTATCATATTCTGGAGGTCCTTAATTTCAATTCAGGTAAAATCCAAGGTGCATGTCACAGAATATTTTTTGTAATATGTTTTGGTCCATATTATGCAAAAAAATTGCTGGGCTTACCTTACCTTTGATTTTTATTTCCTATATCCATATAAATAATTGCAAGTGGAATATATTGTCTTTTGCTTTGTCTGAGGTGTTTTGTTTGTTTGTTTGTTTGGGATTTTTGGGGGGGAAAGGTTAGCTTCTCTTGTACAAAAACCTCACTGTGATTAACCCAGTTCTGTCTTAATGAAAATAACTTGTAGGAGGTTTTAAATGTGGTACTATAATTTAATAAAATAATATATAGTTGTTGTGCTTAATGGTATCTTTTCCTGAGTTTTTGCTTCAAAAGTAATAGCATCCGGTAAAACTCTGCTTCCCCTTAAATCATGTTGTAAATGTTTCACAATACATTTCTATACAGTCATGGGATAAGGAAAGCCCTCTCATGGATGTGTAACTGGTTAAATGATAGAAAACAAAGGGTAGGACTAAATAGTCAGTTTTCACACTGGAAAGAAGTAAATAGTAGGATCTCCCAAGGATCTGTATGGGCAGGGCCAGCTCCAGGCACCAGCTGAGCAAGCTGGTGCTTGGGGCATCAGACTGTTGGAGGCGGCATTCCGCCCAATCCTGAGGCGGCACGGCTGCTTTTTTTTTGTTTTGTTTGGTTTTTGTTTTTTGTTATTGTTCCGCACCAGCCGCCCTGTAGGGGGCGGCGGCGTGGAGAACCAGGGCAGTCTTCTTCCTTCCCTCCCTGCCGACCTGAGTGGAGCCCTCACGGCAGGTGGCAGGAGGCGGCGCAGCGGGAGGGGCCGCATGGCAGTGCCCCCGCTGCAGCCCCGGCCGCCCCCTTCTCTCTCTCTCCCGGCCGCTCCCTTCCCCTCTCCCTCCCCCAGCCAGTCCCCCTGCACCCGCGTCTCCGTTTTTTTTTTTTTTTTTTGCTTGGGGCGGCCAAAAAGCCAGAGCCGGCCCTGTGTACTGGGACTTGTGCTGTTCAACAAATTCATAAATGATCTAGAAAAGAGGGTAAACAGTGAGGTGGCAAAATTTGCAGATGATACAAAATTACTCAATATAGTTTAGTCCAAAGCTGATTGAAGAATTACAAAAGGGTGTCACAAAACTGGGTGACTGGCCAACAAAATGGGAGAAAAAATTCAATGTCAATAAGTGCAAAGTAATGCATAGAAAACCTAATTCCAACTATACACACAAAATTATGGGATGTAAATTAGTTGTTACCACTCAAGAAAGATCTTGGAGTCATTGTGGATAGTACTCAGAAAACATCCACTCAATGTGCAATGACAGTCAAAGAAGCTAGCAAAATACTAGGAACCATTAGGAAAGGGATAGATAATAAAACAGCAAACATTATAATGTCATTATCTAAACCCATGGCCCCACCGCACATTGAATACTGCATCCAGTTCTGGTCACCTCATTTAAAAAAAGATATATTAGAATTAGAAAAGGTATAGAGAAAGTCAACAAAAGTGATTAGGGGTATGGAACAGCTTCCATTCAAAGAGAGATTAAAAAGTCAGATGGTTCATCTTAGAAAATAGATGACAAAGGGTGGTTGTAATTAAAGTCTATAAAATCATGAATGGTATACAGCAAGTGAATAAGGAAGTATAATTTATCCTTTCACATAACTCAGGAACTAGGACTCACCCAATGAAATTAAGAGGCAACAGGTTTAAAACAAACAAAAGGAAGTATTTCTTCACACACTGCACAGTCAACTGTGGAACTCGTTGCAAGGGAATGTTGTGAAGGCCTAAAGTATAACTGAGTTAAAAAAAGAATTAGATAAGTTCCCGGAGGATAGGTCCTTCAATGGCTATTAGCCAAGATGGTCGGGAATGCAGCCCAATGCTCTGTGTGTCTGTAATCCTTCATCTGCCAAAAGCTGTGACTAGATGATAGGGGATGGAGCACTTGAAATTCTTTGTTCTGTTCATTCCCTCTGAAACATTGATACTGGCTACTGTCAGAAACAGGGCACTGGGCTATACAAACCACTGGTCTGACTCCATATGGCCATTTTTATGTTCTTACCTTCATGGAGATTCCAAGCATCCAAAACCAGGTATATTTCAATGGAAAATGGTTTTCAAAATATAAATTTTGCTGAGTTCAGCAATATACCAAGTAATCTTAGCCCAGGTTCTGCCATCCACACTCTTACTGGGAATCACCTTACTCTGAGTGTACCCCATTGAAATGGGGCTATTTGTGGAGTAAGATGTTACTCAGACATAAGGGTGGCAGAATCTAGTATTTAGAGAGCTCCTTTTACATAGCATCTCAGATTCCTTTATGAAGCAAGATGAAAAGAAAGTGAACATATCTGATAAAGATTTAAACCTAGATTTAAAAGTTTCTGTGTACATTAATCTATTCTTTGTTTCGCTTTTCCAAAAGCAAAGATCCAACAAAAAACCCTGATCTCTGTTGATACCAAACGAACCCTAGAAAAAAATCAAAAAACAAATTACGAATGGGAGTAGAGAGAATAGTCAGCTTAGTTCTATGCAAGAGACCAAAGTGTATGGTAACACTGTCTATATAAATACTAAGTATTTTAAATTTTGCAGGCAATGTAAATATTTATTTTTGGGGGTGATGTGCTGTTGGAGCTAATTGGATTGGGTTGTTAGGTCTGTTTGGATACGTTGCAGTAAACATTTAGGAAAATTTAGAGGCACCCGCACCTGGATATTAGGCTTGTAGTTTGAAGATATTTCTGTACGCATTAAACAATGTTTAATCAATTTGCTTCTCTCGTGCAAAACAATGAATTCCTGTATTATTGAAGCAGGTGACAGAACTCAATGTTGGACATTTTACCTAAGAATAAATCCTAATCAAATTGATTTGTAAATTCTTGGCACTCTGTAGTTAATAAGGGGTTGATCCTACATTGAGGCCCATACATTTTTGTTCTCAGGAGGCCCCAACAGATTGCTCCAGCAAAGGGTGGCTATTGTAATTTCATCCAGTGCCTGATGGGGGCATTGCAGGGTTGGCATGTGATTAACAAGCAGCTGATCAGTGTCCGATTCCAGAACCTTACCATCACTGCAGAGTACGGTCCTACCAATACCAAGGACAATAATGCAGCTGTAGATAATTTTTACTATCGACTGCAGACAATCCTTAATGAAGCCCCTAGGAAAGATATTATCATTATCCTGGGCATCTATAATGTGCAGGTAAGAAAGGACAATAATACCTGAGCAAGCAAACTCGGGGAGTTTAGTATCAGAAAGACGAACAGGAATGGACAACTTTGTGAGAACAATCACTCTGGCCTGTTCACACATAGCCTCTAGCATGCAAAACCACTCTCCGCTGAATTATGTGTGTGCTCTAGCAGTCACTCCTGAATTATATTGCAGAATGACACCACAAATTCTCAGTCCCAGACATGTCCCCAGAAATGTGCATCTTATACCGCCCAGCAGCCTTCTGGACAATACAAGCTCATAGAAAGTCAGCAATTTCACTAATAGAAAATGATATGCATAAACATGTTATCTCAAATGGAGTTCCCAAGCACTTTAACCTAACACACTGGTTTGGTTAAAACAATAAAACAAGTTTATTAGCTACAGAAAGAAAGATTTTATGTGATTAAAAGAAATGAGGTATAAAAGTTAAAATTGGTTACAAAGAAATAAAAGGTAAAATGCAAAATAACACCTAATTTTACAAGCTAAGTGAATTTAAATCAAAAAAGGTTTTTCTCACCAAATGCTTACAGCAGTCCAGCTTGATCTTTCAGCCAAGACATCTCCCCCATTTCACTGATGCTTCCTTTCATAGAATCATAGAATATCAGGGTTGGAAGGGACCTCAAGAGGTCATCTAGTCCAACCCCCCTTTCTTTTTCAAATGTTGTTGATGCTGTGAGTAGAGATGAGGGGGGAGAGGTGATTTGGGGGCCTCTCTTCCTCATTTTTATATCTTTTCCTCCTCTGAGAATCATCACCAGCTGAGGTTCAGGCAACGGTCAATCTGTTTACACAGGAACCCCCAGATGTTCCACTGCCAACGTGTTAAGTTCTTGATCACACCCTTCTTCCTGCCAAAGAAAGGCCACTTAACCAGGCGATAGTTCATTTGATTTTGTTGACACTTGGCTGAGGTGTTGGCTAGCCTTTTGACTCTGGGGAACTGGTCTAAAGTTGTTTCTCCAGAAATGGAACATGCCTGATACAGTAGAATTTTATAACTTTACATACAATGTTGCCACACATATTTTACTAGGACAATAATGCTCAACAAATTATGAGTTTTCAAATG